AAGAAGGGAGGAAGGGACGCCTTACTGTTGCGACGACGTGCGGCGCGCAGAGCCGATTAGGAGCTCAATACTTCGACTCAAGATCGGTAAGACAACCTCACGTGCCTGCTCAATGGCTGGACTTCACACGTACTGAACCTCACAGACGGAACTGTCAGGATTGAGCAACGTACGCCGCCAACTCCACTACCTCCACCGCGACAACCCTCTTTCCGACCACGACACCCGGAGGTGACAGCAGCGATCGGAGGCTACAGCGCGCAGGAGCCTGTAAAGAGGGAGTCATTCCAGCCAGGCCACCATGGTGGTTGCCACGATTAAGTACGCCTTCTCCCCTGTCACGTGCGAATCCTTGTCGGGGTCTTGGAGGGTCTGAATCGGGAAAGATTGGGATGCGCCGCACACCGGTGGTCCCGGGTATGAACGCGGAGGCATTCGAGGCGGACAATGGGGCACGGCGGAGCATGGAGAGGATACTGGCGCAAGGCGATCATGGCACAATGAGAAGGCTAACGAGGCGATTCACGCAGATGTGTGGTTGTCGGTGACGGTGCGGTGGGCAAGACATGTCTTCTCATCAGCTACACGACCAACAAGTTCCCGTCGGAGTATGTGCCAACGGTCTTCGACAATTATGCGGTGACAGTAATGTATGCGCTCCACCAAGCTCTGCCGCACACCCTCGAGATGTCAGGGCTGACCGCTACTTGCAGGATTGGAGATGAGCCATATACACTCGGCCTGTTCGATACCGCCGGCCAGGAAGACTACGACCGTCTCCGACCGCTCTCATACCCGCAAACCGATGTCTTCCTCGTCTGCTTCTCCGTCACCTCACCTGCCTCCTTCGAGAACGTCCGAGAGAAGTGGTTTCCGGAAGTACACCACCACTGTCCAGGTGTACCCTGCCTTATCGTGGGCACACAGACCGATTTGCGAGACGATCCACAGGTACGTGACAAGCTGGCGAAGCAGAAGATGCAGCCCGTGCGCAAGGAAGACGGGGAGAGGATGGCCAAGGAGCTCGGTGCGGTAAAGTATGTGGAATGCTCGGCCTTGACACAGTACAAGCTCAAGGATGTATTTGACGAGGCAATCGTGGCGGCACTGGAGCCGCCCGTGGCGAAAACGGGCAAGAAGCGTACGTAATGAATTAACCACCCCATGTGCCGAAGGTGACAAGCTGACAATTCACGCAGGGAAAGGCAAGGGTTGCACTCTGCTCTGAGCCGGTCCTCTCACGTCTTCTTCAAGCGGCTGGGCGTGCGGCGTTCGAGGGCGCAGATGGGTAGCAGTGGCGCTTAAACCTGGTTACTATAGCCCGTCTCCTATTCACACGTTGATCTGACCTCCGTTTCATGACCGTCAATCGCCTCAAGTAAGAGCATGACCGCCAGACCTCACTGTGCTCGGTGAAATTCCGCTCCTTCCACTTTTGGGTATCCTGTGTTTGTTTGTTGACGTGCGCGAATCTTGCAGATTTAGATCGCGCTAGATCGTAATGTTCCATCAACAACACACAATGGTATTGTCGCCACCTCAGATAATTTCCGCTTTCACACTTGATAGACGCGTCTCGCTGATTGTAAAGAGATTGACGAGACATCAGAAACAACATGCCGGACCAAGCAAGCCAGCATTTGCACCCTGACCTGCCTCCACCATCGCCTCATGGCCACACAGTGACCTTGCCGGGCATCCCAGAAGCGAGACCTGGGCACAACGCATTCGCCCAGCAAGCTGCCAGGATGGAACGTCACCGCTTCGACGGCAACGCGTTCTACCAGCAGGAGGTACAAAAGCGCACAGGCACACCACCAAGCATGATTCACCCTGCGCTACGCGAGCGAAGCACCTCGGACGCGTCCTTACTGTTGGGCACCGACTCCCAGACCCTTCGCGAGTCGAGCGTCACGACCATGTCTGCCTTCATCAACGCAGGCAAGAAACGTTCACCTCCGCTCACGTTCCTACCCTCGAACGGTCACTTTGCTGAACCGACAATACGCGGTTACATCGAGGAGCGCCGAGAGCAGCTCGTGCACGAGGCATCTGGGAGCGATGAAGATCGCACGTCCGTCTACCAGACCTACGCACCCACGCCCAAGACATCAAGCTCCGAGTTCGCGAGTCACACGCCGGCTGGGAGCGCGACACCGCGTAAGCACCGCATCTCACTGCCGCGCAGAGACACTACAAATATTGGTGGTGATGGCGCGCCAAGCAGTCCACGGAGGACGTTCTTTGACAGACTTCGCATGCCGAAGTTCAATGGCAGCACTTCGTCACCGTCGATGACCACACTGAACAGCTCGGAAAGCTTCGTAGTGGAGGAGGCCGGGATACCGGTCAAGGCACAGGCCGTGCTTGGTGCTTCATCATCGAAGCTGAGCCTTGCGCGCTCGCCATCAAAGCAGAGAAAAGCTTTCATGTCACGCAAGGCCGCGCAGCTCAGCGACATTGCCACCTCAGTAACGTCCGCAAGCCGCAAGCCAGGAACAATTGATGCGCAAAGCGCACCACGTACTGGTAGCACTACTGCAACAACGCCGCAGACTGCGCAGACGTCAGTATCAGACCCGACGCACTACAGCTATGTGAACGGCAAGCGCATCCCGTCGCAAACGTTTTCCGACCGTGGCGCACACCAAAACCAAGGGACCAGCAAGTGCGCTGTTCAGCGCTCACGTAAGACAATAGAACACACCCTTGGTAAAATGTTCAACCGCTAATACTCTTCATTCTCAATAGAGAGCCTTAAATACTTCGACCCTGGTGTGCCACCGACGCCACCTGCCAAGAACACGCCGCCTGGCCAGAGAGCGCAAGCCGATGTACCCACCAGCAGCACATCGACTCGGGTGCCATTCCATAAAGCCGAGATTACGCCTTCCAAACCGCCGGTAGGCCGTGTCAGCACGAGTGATCGTCACAGTCCCACGAAGTTCGGCAGCTATGGACACAAAGAGACGCCAAGACTGGTCACTCAGCCGAGCATCTACTCGCTACACGCATCTGTCGTGCCGGGCAACATGGAAGCGACTACCTTCGAAGAGATGAAAGCGCGCATCGACGGCTTGAGTCTGGAGGGCTTCAGCCTCCCGAACGAGACATACTACAACCACCACCAGCGCAGCCCAGAAATGGTGTATTCCCCGAGCATCTATTCCGGCGAGTGGAGCGTGAGAAACAGCGTGATGTCCGGCCACTCGCACCATGGACATCGGCTGTCGTTCAACGACCTCCCGTCGCTAGTCGAAGTGCCGGATGAGTGCGAGAAGAGCGGTCACAGTACCAAGAAGAGCTCATCTAGTGGCGGCACCATCCCAATCTACTACCCTGAACTCGCGTCCGACCCGTCAGTATACGACCTGATGTCGCAGCACAAGGTCCACGTGAGGTCGCATACGAGCCCGGACGTGGGCCACTTCAAGCTCAACGTCTTCGATCTCACGGAAGCGCCGATCCACGGTCGCACGCGCGCTCGTGATCACAGTCACAGCCCGATGCGCTCAATGGGGTTCGACAATGACAGCCCGATCCACTCCCTTGGTGGCGACAAAGTCGACGTTTGCTTGTTTGCTACGCCGAGCCGTGAGGACATGGTTGAGAGGTACAGTGCTTCACCTGCTCCGTCGGACCACCCGAGCGCGATGCCGTCACCTCTGCACTACCTGCCGGCTACGACGTACACGCCGCCATCAAAGGCCAGCCAAAGACATCCTATGGACTGCACTCCGGTCTCTCGCAGCCGAGAGAATGCACACTTTGGCCGCCACAGTGGGCTCGACATTCATCACAGTGAAGTGTCACTCTTAGACCTACCTCTCCAGGACCAGAACATCCTCGAGACAGCGCCTGTGCTCAAAGCCTCGCCGCGCCGCCTCGATCGGCTCCACCAGCGAAGCATGGGCGCCGGTATCGACGAGCAAGGCGAGGACGTGGACCCCGCGAAAGCCGGCTACGTCACGCAGACCAAAGCGAAGAGTAGCAAGATGGACAAGATGCTCGACATGCTCGACAAGCTCACGACCCGTAACGACGACCTCGAAGCCATGCGCGAAGAGATGCGGGCCACGAACGCTCGTCTGGACGCCCGTCTGGCCGCGATGGAGGATGTCCCGCGCCACTCGCCCTCGCCCAGCTCCTCCGCCATGGGATTCGGCTTGGACGGCGCTTCGAGCGCAGACGACGAGACGTTGAGTAGAGTCCAGAACCGCATTCCCACCGACGTGGCGCACGACTTCTACCGAGGCGGCAAGTCGCCGACTCCGGCTTCGTCGCCTCCCACGAGCGTAGCTGCTGGCGGAGAAGGCGAAGTCGAGACGGAGGCGGAGAAGATCGAGAAGCTTACGGAGACGAACAAGCAGTTGACCGTGATGATTCAGGGTTTTGCGGCGGAGTTGGAGGCGGTGAAGAGACGATTGGGTGGTGACGCATAACGGACATGATTATCCGATATGAGTGTGGTTGGTGTCTGGTGCGCTAGGATGCTGAGTTCGTCGAGGAGATGAGCCTGTGACAGTCAGGCGAGTCAATGAGCGCGGCGTTTTAGATCGCGAGATGTTTTGAGGCGCAGAGTGCAGTCTCAACGAGGATGTACTTTGGGCTGCGTAGCGTTCGGTTCAACAGTTCGCGTTTCTTGCAGGACTGTGGATGCAAGAGTCAGTAAGGTAGGGGGGAACAAAAGCGATCGATTGCGACGGTCGTATGCTTGGCGCTACCAGGACGCATCGGCAGATAGGAAGTTCTGATGGTGCGCAAGGTTGCTAGCGAAGAATCATACATTCAACCAGTACCTTATACACGTTCCAAAGCTTTCGTACGGAGCCCAGGGGTTCCCAGTATCTCCAGCAAAATAATCTCTGATGCTCACAGTCGGTGCCAGCCCAGACAGTTTCACCACATAAGGTACTGTAGAAGCAAGCCGAAACAGGCCAAAAAAGAAGGTGCAGCGAGCCTTGTGCTTTCATACACTACTTTGTAGTGTGGATAGGAATAGCCGAAGGCGGGGCTCGAACCCGCGACCTTGAGGTGATCTCGTCTGCAATTGCTTGCTATAAGAGCCACACGCTCTACCGATTGAGCTACCCCGGCAAGGAGTATTTTATACTGATGGATGGACACAAAACAATATATTGTCTTCATTATTACTGGCAGGCTCATAGCGCGATAAACTCCATCCCCAGACCCAACCTCCTCTGTTCTCGTTGGACTTTTCTCTCCAGCCTCACAAGTAACAGCAGATATTGAAGATCGGAGGGGTCGCCTTCAGCGCAAGGAGTGTCGGTCTTTCTGATATTCTGCGTTGTGAGATGGATGTTCGGTGGATAGGCTGTTCGAACGGTGAACGATGTGGTGTGTTCGGCTGCAGCAAGGTACCGTAGAAGCTCACACGGTCGGCGGCAGGTACCATCACTTGAGCGCAACATCTCGGCAAGCGAGAAATAATATAGGCTGCAGTGCACTTTACATGCGAGAAAACGTGCGTCCGTATCAATGTAAAGCACTACTTGCGGAGTTGTGCTCATCAGAGAAGGTACGTGTAGGCTGGTCGGGTGGTCCTGGCAGACCGGCGGCAGGCACTGACTGCTACGCAACAGCCTCCGAATTGAACATGGGCGGCAAGACAGCAGATGTAGTACCATTCGACTAACTTGGGTGTGCTCCCCGGTACGATACACTGTCCAATCTGCCCTAGTCTGCTGCCATTCCTTGCGGTCAATCGCAACTCCAGCAACGCACGCAGCCGGCCAAGGTCAGTTTGGTCTGGTAATCATCAATATCTTAAGTGGAACGGCAGTAGCGTAAAAGAGAGCTGTCTGCTCGCGCATCGTTTTCGGGTTGAACAGGACTTCTTCCACTGCGAACTGGTTTCGTACTACAGCCAATGTCAACAATGCGGCAATGCCTCGAGGGAAGATGGTTTGACATACGGCAAGCATTACAAAAGGCCTCGAACGTCTCTGCCTTGCGGACTGCTCCCGATATAATGGCTCGCAGCTTTGGCCGCAGGTCGAACAAAAGTCGAAGGGTAGCCACAAGCGCCGAGATGCTGACTTTGTCGTATGTCTACCGCTTGTCAGCAGGAGGAAATTAGAGCTCTGGTAGCTCTGACTTACGATATCTGCCCCGATGACGGTGTCGTATTGCCACGCATCGCAGTCCTCCTCAACCCAAGTCCCTGCCAATCCTCTGCCCCACCGCAAGATGCTCGTCACGACTTGCTCCTCCTGGTCCAGTCCGTTGAGGAAGAGATTTTCCCGGAGTGCTTCCACTACCCCCTCGTCTCCATCGGTCGCCGTGACATGCTTGGCTTCCAGATGCCTTGCGCAGAGGATGGACAGAAAGCCGGTTCCAGCGCCGAGCTCGAGCACGCTTTTATCACGAATCAGGCTTATCCCCTCCGCCGTGAGCAGGTATGATCCCAGATGCAGAGCAGCCTCCCACGTTCGGAATCCGGTGGTCAGTGAGCCGGAAATCAGGTGGCGTCGTTCTAGTAGTGTCACTGTAGGCTCGACGTCAGGGTCCGCGGACCATCGTCGTCCGGGCGCTATACATGTGAACGTCACGTATGTTTTCTGCTGCACGGCAGTAGTTTCTGAAGGCAGCTCGGTAGAAATGAGAGTGGAGAGGTGTGACATGAGCTCATCGGAAATCTCCTACCAATGCGAAAGCCATCAGAGAGGGCTGCTGAACGAGGCGATAGTCTGGAATAGTGACGGAGATTGTAGACTTGTTCCATCTACAAGATCATACTTACATCCTCTTCCGGGTCTTCGATAGCCGCTTCGACTTTGGCGAGCAGAGGCTTGACAACGCGCAGCTGGTAGCGTTCAGGGGGCAATCTGTCGTTGCGCTCAGGATCAAACAGCCTATGATATAACCACGTCTGGACGTCGGGGTCTCTGAGAAGCTGTCTGGGTGGCCATGTTAAAAAGTCGGGCTCAACGAGCTGGAGGTACTGCCGGCGGAAGAGGATCAGCTGAGGATCCATGGTCATCACTGCTCGACCGTAGGGATGATCATGGGATCAAATTCGCGTTCCCTTTTGCACTTCGGACGATGGGCAGGATATCTTCTTCATGATGGGTTGCGGAAGACGACGCGACTGGAACAAAAGTCAAGTCACGGCTGTGCAGAGGTGTCATTGCTGCCTCAGGCTGTGACTTGGCAAAAGTAACCCACATCTCAATTTGACAACGACATTGCTTCGATTGCCGGCGAGCGCTGATTCCACGAGAACGACAACCTCCATCAACACCGCCAACATGTCCGAAGGCCAAGTGACTTTGCGCACGCGCAAGTTCATCCGAAACCCTCTCCTGGGCCGCAAGCAGATGGTCGTGTGAGTGCACCCTCGCCCAACCTGCCAAAGACGATCCGCGCCAGTCCTTCGACGCACACAAGCGCTACTGCTGGACTCTATGCACAGCGTGCTAATCGCGCTCCATTTGCAGCGACGTCCTCCACCCGAACCGACCGAACGTAGCCAAGGATGAGCTCCGATCCAAGCTCTCGGAACTGTACAAGTCCTCCAAGGATCAGGTCTCCGTCTTCGGCTTCAAGACGCAGTATGGTGGCGGCAAGAGCACAGGCTTCGCACTCGTCTACGATTCACCGGAGGCGATGAAGAAGTTCGAGCCGCACTACAGGCTAGTGAGATATGGGCAGGCATCAAAGATTGAGAAGCCGAGCAGACAGCAGCGTATGTCAATCTCGACTACAACTGGGCAGAAGTGGTGGGAAGGAAGCGTACAGGGGATTGTGCTGACAATCGTTCACAGGCAAGCAACGCAAGAACCGCATGAAGGAGTTCCGGGGTACTGCCAAGGTGAAGGGCGCGGCGAAGAAGAAGGACAAATAGATGCGTGTGCTGGGAGTGGGCCGTCGAGGTGGGTGCCGCTTGTGCTCCGCAGCTACTCATTACGGTGGTCGATACACTCGCACGATGTGGCGCGTACCAAGTGCACGCACGGAGTTAGTGGTAGGGGTGTACACGTCGAATTGACTTCTCCGCCAACGGAGCACTTCACTGCTATCGGCGACCACGCTCACATGCTCTCATTGTTATCAGGAAGACTTCCGTGTAGCAGCCGTTTCAAGTGGAGAGACCGTGATTGCCCAACAACAAGCCTGCCTTCACCGCCACAGCCAGAACACGAGAACGGCGCACAGCAGCACCACAACCGGGACCATCCGCTTGGCCGTACGCTTGAATGTACGCGCAAAGCTCTCAGCTATGTACGCTTTGATCTTCTCTTGAACAACCAATGTTTCGTTGACTCGAGGAAACGGTACGTCCGGGATTGGCTTGCCAAGAAACTTGCACAGAGGCTCCCATCCATCTGCAAGGTCGAAGAGGAGAAGCCTGTCCGCCGGTGTCACTCGCTTGACATGTTCGTTGTGCGCCAGATACGTCGGTACGGCGTTGATTCTCCACTCGGCAAAGAATGGCTTTTTGCCGAAGAACGAGTTCGTCCCTTTTGGATGTTTAACGTTGAAATAATACCTTGCGATCAGATTCGTCTGCCGTGAAGTTTGACCTAAGAATCCAGGATCGAGCAAAGCAGCCAGGGGTATGGTCGGGTTGGCTGAACCGTCTATGACAGTACCGTTGTAGGACTTGAACCACCGATAGGCGTTCCGCTCGCACAGCACGACCTTGGCGTCGGGGTACGCCTTGACCAGTTCTTCTACGAACAAAGCAGCCAGCTGGTCGGTACAGGCGCCCCAGTAGCCGAGGAGATTGTCGAATTCTGGCCGGCCGAAGGGTTGCTTGACACTGGAGGGATTGAACTTGGCTTCGATGGCATCCGACCACATCGCCAAGTCTGGCGGATTTTCGGCCATGGTGACCCAATGCCACGTAGAGCCGCTTGCATGGCTGATACCGAGGACGAGTATGAGGTTTGTAGACACGATCCCCGATTGCCTTCGACCACTTACTCATGGTACCAGTTCGCGAGTAACCCATGGACAGCACCTCCATGGGCACGGTACGTTTGCGCACTCGCGGATCTTCATTGCGCTCAATGTACACCTGCGGGTGTCGTTCTCTCAACGTCGCCATTACTCTGCATCTGTGATGAAGTGAAGGACTGCATCCCCGCGAGATGTCGGCTACGCAGTCTTTTCATGTAGAGCCTCTCCGCTAGGTCGACTGCGGACCCGTGGCTGCATGCACACTTCCGGGTCAGCCGTAGCTACTTTGTTCGAGGAGAAATCTTTTGCACACCCGACGCAATCAAATGGATTCGTTGGAAGCCTTAGGCTGGAAGGAACGCGCATTTCGATTAGGGCTGGATTATAGTAGTGTAGTCACGTGCTTGTCTGAATCTCGAGTTCGAGTTGTTTTCGCAACTTCCACATTGGGTCATGCACACATTACGGGCTGTGAAGTGATATGACTGCGGGTCAACAGCGCTTCCATCATGAAACACTGCTTCTCGGCCCAGTCTGCGACTAGTTGATACCACTTCGGTGTTCCCACGACCTCGCTCCTCTGCGGACTCTCTTGATTCATACTGCTTCGGTCGTGTAGCGGTGGCGACTCATCTCGGTGATGCGTCCGTCAGTCTCTTCCCGGCGGGGTGGATGTTTCGAGGCGAGGAGGAGACTGAAGGCCTCCGATACCCGAGACTGAGCGCACGGCGTACCACATGATTGGAGTCCCACCATTGACCAACTCCGCGGTCCTGGACACGATGGCACACTCATCTCCTCCATCTTCACAGACCTTGCAAGTCGATTCGCAGGCAACCCTGTCTCCTGCGCCTTCGCAGCTTGACTTGAGTCATCTACCGCCCATCTACGTTTCGGCGACGCACTTTGAGCATGATGACTTGCATGAGCTGGAAGATGAGCTGACGGCCGCCCGTGCAATACTTACGTATGATCTGAGCGAGGCCCAGATCGTGTTGAGCAAGGCCTTGAGCAAGAAGCGCATTGCGTATGATCTGCGTGCCAAGGGCTTGTGGACTGAGGAGGTGGAGCCACGGGAGGCGAGGCTGCACGCCTTAGATGCAGGCACGGATGGCGCGAGCGATGAACGGCCAACGAAGAGGCGAATGCTGAATGCGACGCAGAGGCCTTCG